ATGTGGACGAACTGATTGATGGGGTTAGCCAGATCATCACATCAGCATCAGAAGGCTCTCTCTTTTTCACCGTGTTAGACCTGAAATATGCCTATAGTCAGATAAAACTAACTGCGGAAACAGCAAAACAATGCAACTTCAATATAATAGGGGGTAATGCAACGGGTACTTACAGATTTCTGACAGGTTTTTACGGGCTGGCAGATATGCCAGCCGAATTCCAAAAAGCGATGGACAGAACACTAAACCACGCAAAAAATACCTTTTGTTTCTTGGATGATATTCTAATTGTTTCAAAGGGGGAAGCTAAAGAGCATGAGAAATTAGTACACAATGTGTTGCAAAAGTTGGACGACGAAAATCTCGCATTAAAAATTTCGAAATGCGAATTCTTGCAGCCTGCGGTGAACTGGTTAGGTCATAACTTGTCGATACATGGCATAATTCCAAAAGCTACTAAAACTGAGGCAATTGCAAACCTTCAACCCCCCAAATCATTAAAGCAACTCAGATCGTTCATGGGTAGCATCAACCACTTAGCGAAATTTATCCCAAACGCGGCTAGTTTAACTGAAAAACTTAGACCACTACTGAAAGAAGAAAATGAAAAAAAAGAAAATGAAAAATGTCCGGTTACCAGTTAAAAAATTTGAGTGGAACGATCAACACTCAGTAGTCTTTGAGGACATAAAAAAGGCAGTTGCTAATATAGCCTTGTTAAACTATTACGATCCAGCAAAGCAATCTAGAGTAAAATGCGATGCAAGTCATAGTGGGCTAGGGGCTACTTTAGAACAATGGTCTCATCAGAACGATTGGATACCGATCGCATTCGCTTCCCGGTATTTAAATACTCAAGAAAAAAAATATTCTACTAATGAACTTGAGTTATTAGCAGTAGTTTGGGCGGTAGATCGCTTCAAACATTATCTACTAGGGAAAGAATTTGTCATAGCAACTGACCACAAGGCATTGACATCAGCTTTGGGGGAGCATAGATCAAACAAAACGTATCAATCTCGTTTGACCAGGTGGGTTGACCGATTACTGCCCTTCCAATTTAAAATTACTCATATTCCCGGAAGGGATATGGGTATCGTTGACTACTTGTCAAGAGAACCTAATGGAGAACCGTGGCCAGAATCGGAACTGGATGAGAGATTCGTAGTAACGTCTATAGAAAGTTTCCATAAAGCACTCGACTGTTTAAACAGTCGGTCTAGTGAAACAAACCAAAGTAGCACTATAAACATTCCAGAACATTCTAGAACACCAAGAGAAATTAACTACTGTAAAGACAGCTCATCACGCGGTTGCTATGACAACCAGTTTGTTCAAAACCGGACAAAGCTCGACCGGAACGAAAACGGTCAAAACTCAAGTTTTCAAACAGTTGAGAAGCACAAAAACACATTGGACAGAATAGCTCGTGAGAAACAGTTGGTCGATATTTCAAAACTCAAAGATAAATTAAACTCCAAACAATTAGAATCCAAGGAAACGGCGTCATCGAAAGAAATGGAAAGAAGCGAAACAGGAAAATCCAAGAGAACGAAAAATAAACAGAACGGAAATCAGAGGGAGGACGATCAACTAACCGAACAAGTAACAGAAACCACCTTCTCTCGAACACGCATGGTAAAGAGAGGTGCTGCATGCAGTCGACAAGAGTCAGACGATTCTGATTCAGATATACCACAAGTTGAGTGGAGACCAGTGAGAAAGACGATAAAGCCTAGAGGACTTAAAGAAATACAATCTGGAAATGTGACAGGAAGTAGTGGAGCAACTCTGATGTCATTTTGGGACCTCCTAGGGGCAGAAAGACCAGATAATCCAAAATGTCTAATAGAATTAGAGGCACGGACCAGTCATCACAATTAAATACCCGAAGTGAATTCCCCCAAATTATTGAAGTGGACCTAACAGCCGAGAGCCCTTCGGAAAGCCCAGAAGTCAGCATGATTAAAAAGGAAAAGACATGTCACGATTCCAGGAAAGGCAAACCAGATCAAAATAACGTGCGTACAGATATCAGTCTGGACAATCTCAACAAACTATTTGATAAAAGCCTATTAGCGGAGCTGATATCAGAAGACGCCTGGATGGACAGACTGCGGCGGGTCATTGAGAGGAACGATCGATACAGCTTCGAGCTGATGGGCCCATATACCAACCCTCTCTGGCACCAACTCTCAGTTGTTGACGACTGCATCCTGGTTGACAACAGATTAGCTGTCCCGGAACAATTGCGCTTGGCAGTCCTAAAGAGGATTCACCGCGGTCACCCAGGCCAGGAAGCGATGCTAGATGTGTCAAAATACCTGTGGTGGCCGCACATGCACAAGGATATCGTCAACCTTGCAGAGGAATGCAGAAGTTGCACCCGCTATGGTAAGAATGCAAAATACATCATACCAAAAAATGCTACGAAGCCTCTGCCACTGCTCACGCAGCCAGGTCAAGAAATTCAGTTAGACTATGCTGGCCCGCTTGAAGATTTCAAAGGAAAAAAAATTTATCTGTTGGTAGCAATGGATAGGTATTCTAAATTTCCTTCAGTAAAAATCACTAAATCAACAGGGGGCAAGTCGTCAATAAAATTTCTTCGCTCATATATTGATATACATGGAATACCTGAATCAATTAGAACGGATCAATTTTCCGGGTTCAAGGGCAAAGCAATGAAAAAATTTTGCTCCGACAATAACATCGAACAAAAATTTTGTCCAGTTGGCGACCATCGCGGATGCGGTTTAGTAGAACGCACTATACAAACCATCAAGAGAAGGCTGGGAGTAATGCTACTCGATGAAAACGTAACATCGATAAAATTATGCTTGAGTACGATACTTCGTGACCTTTGTTGGAGTAAACAGAAGACAATTAAAATGTCGCCATTTGAGGCGCACTTTGGGCGATTGCCAAAAACAGAATTTAAAATTCTCAGTGATAGGTTCTTACAAAACTCTGATCGTTTAGATAAGGAACATCTGGAGCGCTCCGCCTTGACGGCTTCGCAACTCAAAAAGAGAATCGACCAGTCTCGTGACAACTTAAAGATTGTTCGGAAAGGACAAAACAGCCGAGATGTGAGTCCATTATTCAAAGAGCAAGTCGACTCGGCAAAGGATCGGGAAAGAGCGCGGGCCCTAAAAGAGCTTCTGGAAGCCAATGCAAGATGGAACCAGACTCGACGTGATACTTCGGCCAACGATCTAAAACGTACAGTGGATGAGACGAGTACCATTAACCCCGAGCTACGCAAAGAAATGCTATATTCGTGGGAGCGGGGGTTCGTTGAAGATAAGCCGGAGGCCATTTCACAGCAACGTCAGTCGTCACCAATCCTGATACGAAAGGACGAGGGGAGGAAGAGCGGTAAGGCCCTCACGAAACCTCTGAAGGGAAGGGTCGTGGCCGAAACGCCCTCCACAATTAAGACAGCTGCAGGGTCCGTTTACCGGAAAAGCGATATTGCGAAGGTTAAGGTTGCTGTTCAAGACAAGGAGAAAAGCACCAATAGACGATCCCCAACGGGAGAAGAGCCTAAAAAAAAACAACAGAGGCAATCGAGGCGACAATCAGACGAACAAGATGAGGCTGAATTGAGTCAGTCGGATGAAGACTTATTGCTAGAGCAGCCAGGTGCAGCTAAGGAAAAATTTCAGGACAGCCCAACGGTGATCACTTCAAAAGACACTCTGCAAGGCGGTGGACTGAATTTGGCGGTACGAAGAGCGAAGCCGAACTTGGCTGGACCATTCTCGAAAACAACTAAGGCTAAAGTGGGCCCAATCTCGACGAAAGACGCACAACAAGTCATATCACAGAGTAAAAGTGCTGCGTTAGCAACAGAAGTGAACGAACCGCAGGCGCCAGATCACGCATGTTCGTCGAATACTATAAAAAACAAGAAAGAAATTACACGCACTACATCTCCTGAAACAATCCTCGACACTTTCAATAGTAAGGACCTATCGGCGAATGACTGGAATCGATTAGCGGATCAAGTACTTGAACGAGGAGTTCAGCGCGCGGCGGCAGAGATACTGCGATCCAGAGAGGATGCGGAAGACGACGAGGAATTGTTGAATCCTCCGGGGTTTTCTGATGAATCCGAACTTGAGGAAACATCAGTGCGGAAAAGCGGAAGAACTAAAAAGGGACCATCCAGATACGGAAACCCGATTAAGCATTCGGTGAAATCAATCTCGTTTCAGAATAACCTACTAGACTTAAACCAAGCCGCGCTCGAAGCATATAGAATCAAGCTTGCAAATTTTAAACCCGGTGCTTCTAATTCGGTGGAGACAAAATTTGGTCTGCTGGAGAAACATCTTTTTAGGAGAAAGTTTGGCAGCGAGGCTCTAGATATAACCCGTTCATGGAACGCCGAGTGGCGAATCCCTTTACAGTTGGAAGAGGAACACGAAGAGAGAGATGGAAAATGAGTAATCTAATACACAAAGCCAAAACTTCTTAAACTGAGTTCTAAAACTCCTATTCATTATTATTTAAAATTTTAATAACATATTATAAAAATTTTCTTGATCGAGGGGGTATGTGGTACCGCAACTGCTACTGCTATTGCAGTAACTATGCAGTCCTCTTATATTGGCCTTGATAGTGCTACTCACATCTGCTACTGCTATCGCAGTAACCAGATAGTCATCTCATATTGGCCTTGATAGTGCTATACATATTGTTATCTGTAAATTATATAATCCTATTATAAAAAACCAAGGTCAAAGCATACGTGACCTTTTACAAATCTTAGAGAGTCAATCTCTCAGGCCTGTGGCTAAGAACACAGTCAGTAAGAAACTAACAAACAGAAAAACAAACGGTTTCAACATGGTTAATTAAACTCTTCGAAACCACTTCAGTTTTCACTATACAACCTCAGAGGTATTGTTAGTTACCACAATATGCATGAAATTATATATGCATAACTAGTCTCTTAAATAAAAGCTTAAAATGTGGTAAATTACTCTCACTTTCCCTTGAAGAAAACTGCCACCCCACAAACCATCGGTCGACTGACAAGGTTGCTCAAAATCTGATGAGTCAGCAGTGCAATGTCACGCTGAAATTTGAACCATGAATTACTCACATTTTTTTCTACCAAAACAGAAAAAAACTTTGAGCGGAGAAAACCCCAGTGTCAATAAGTCCAACAAGCTCAGGTATTCAAATTTTCAACCAATGCTTACTATAGAGTCCACGAGATCATTTTTCTCAAAGTTTTCAATGAAGAATATATATTTCGATTTGACAACGTCCCATAAACATCTTATTGGGAAAACATCTAAACATCTTCCGAAGCAAATATTTTTTGAAATTAGGTTGATTTTATATTGAAGTGCAAATGCCGGCTACGAAACTTCAGTTCAGTAGTTTTGAGGCTGGTCGCTGTAGGTTTTTTGTAGTGGACGACGAAAATAAGAAGAGTTTGATTTCATACCTCGCTGTGCTGAGGAATGAACTTCAAATTGAAAGCAGTTCCAGGCGCAGAAATGAACCTCTCTTTCACATATCGTTCGAAAAAGTGGCCCAAAGCAGGAGTCGAACCACAGCTGCCTGTTTCATCAGGTAGAAACACTGGTTCTGTGCTCTGTTGGCTTTCCTCCTCCTCCTCCTCCTTATCGACCGAGTGATAGTCTTTAGGATAAAAAGCGGTTTTGAATTCTCTCGTTCTTTTGTAATCGGGACCAGGTCCTATGATGCTCTAAAGTGTAATGTTTTTTGGTGGCATATAAAAAATTATTGGCTAGTATTTAAGAGGGGTAGTAAGAGTAAATCTGGTGTGGGTTTTTAAAATTAGTTGTAAATTTTTTGGCCGTCTTTTGCTGACAAAATTAACATCCGATCTCCCAAAAACAACACACGTAACAAATTTTGCAAAAAAAAACAAACGAAATAAATGCTCTGAGATGACCTTAGCGTACCTTGCTTACAGTAATTTTTGAGCATACTTGACATAATTCGGCTTCAATAACGGTATGCAAACACGTGATGCAAAAAATGGCCTCCAGTCTCAAAAAGTTAGCTTTGTTCAACCAAATAACTCAGCTTAAAACATTGGAAAGTAGTAGAAACGGCTATTCCCTACACAGACTTAAAAGCCTTTGATAGACCCTCTGAGATTCGCAGAAACAATATTGTCGTGTCAATAACATTACCAGTCTGATTTTTTCGAAGGATCCACAGTAAAAGGAGAAAATGTCGACGATTGTCTTCAGTTTACTGTCTACTTGAGCATTCGTGAAACATTTGCTGCAGCCAAGACCCTGAAAAAATGTAACCGTCGAAATCATATAATTCCAAACTCTCCAAATCTCGTCTTAGAGTAACCATGTTTTTTTAATTTTGGGTTTAGAATGAAGATCCAAAATTTTTAGTGAGTCATTTTCCAGTCTTTCGCATAAAATGTGGTCCCATCCAATCACCTGAAATTTAACTAGTTCAAGAGGATCAAAATCGACAACATTTCTCAGTCAGCTACCCAGGGTTGAAAATTCCACAAAGAATCCCCAATCTACGAAATTTTAATGAAATTTGCTGGTAACTTTCCCTTTTATACGTTTTCTTTGATGAAAATTTCTAAGACGGCAAATTTTATTCCGAAAAAGAAAAAGATTGAAAACATTGCCGAAAACATTCTATGCCATAATTTCTCTTTCTATGCCATAATTAAGGACGAAAATCAACTTAGGAAAGTTGTTAATTTTTTTTGCAAATATATACTTGTAAGATTTTCAGATTTTAATTTGTTATATGCATAAACAATGAATCCCGAGATAATGAATTTCAATTTTTTCCGAAAACAAATGTCTTAATTATACAAATTTAGCGGTTGTAAAATAATTTGGGGACAATAAAACATCAATTTCGACAATTCATGTCATATGATTCCGGAAATTTTGTATGTGGTGCTCATATACATTACTCATAAACATTGCTGTAGGCAACAATTTATAAGTAACTACGCAAATTTAGTGGCTGCGATGCACTTCGTACGGATATCTCACGTAGCAAAATCCGAGAAACCCACATTGACACATTTGCTCGTATCAGGATGAATCCTTGAATGTTCCGATTGACTTTTGAGGTTTATGGAGCAGTAACAACATGAAAAAATTAATTGTAATATAAAAAATATATATTTTTTTAATTTGAGATTTTTTGTAAAAATCATCCAGCCAGACGGCAGTTAAAGTACAAGTGATAAATTTTGCTCCTAAGTTAAGTAACAAATCGATTATGGCAAATAAGCTTCCTTCATCCAATTTGGAGCGATTTTTAAGTTGACCAAATTGGCAAAAATGGCAACCGTAATAGCGCGAGTTAATTGTCCCAAATTGGCCAAAATGGCAAACTTCAAACTCCCATAACTTTAGGAAAAATGATCACATGTGTTAACAAAGTTAAGCTCAGGACAACAATACCTTTTAAACATAATTTAAAAAATTTCGTCAAAATTGGCTATTTAAAATGTCACAATTTGCTTGAAGAAAAAAAAACCCACCCGAGCACAAATTTTCCGTTACTTTCGTTAGGAAAAACGGAACAATTAGATCATGTTTCATACAGATGAAAACAGTCTGAAAATCTGTTCACGCTAGCTCATTTACTGGAATAAGGTAATTTTTATTGAAGAAGGTTTTCATCAGAGTTGCAGAGAGCTGCAGTCGTTCAAGGAGAGCTCATTACAAGTTATTCAATTTAAGGTAATTGTTCCGATTTTCGTAACTAAAGTAACGGAAATTTTGTGCTCGGGGTGGTTTTTTTCCCTGAAACAAATTTCAGTTTTTTAACTAGTCATTTTTGACAGAATTTTTATGATCATTCAAAAGGTTTTCCTGTCCTGAGCTTAAATTTGAAAAGATATTTCACCTGTGATCATTATTTGTAAAGTTATGGGCGTTTAAAGATTGCCATTTTAGCCAACTTGGGACAATTAACACGCATTATATTTCGAGTTATTAACGCGTAAGCGGAGATTTAATCCTTTTCGGAAATAGTTCCAAATTAATTGACGAAAGTTTGTTTGCCATAATTGATTTGTTACTCGGAGCAAAACCTATCACTTTGTTCTTTATATGGTGTGTGGGGGATGATTTTCACAAAAATTGCATTTATTTTATAAAATTTGTTTTTTCATATTTTTCATCGATAGACCTTAAAAGGCAGTCGGAACATTCAAGCTTTGCCCTGATACAAGCAGTTTTGTTTTTTCAAAAGAATTTTGCGTATTCGAACATTCTCGCGGTGATGAAAATTAAAACTATAGAAATGTCAAATTTGTTATAAATTTTCTAGGCGCAACTCACTGGAGGAAATCAGTTTATAATTGAAAACTCAACTTAGATTAATTCACGTTTGGAGTAAATTTACAAATTTTATAAAATCATAGTTTTTTTTCAGGCCAAACATCATCACAAAAAATCAATGGAAAGCATGTGAAAAGCATAATTTTTTCATTGTTTGATAGTCGAGGACATTGGGGTATAATCCGATAATAATCTATTATATAAATAAAACATAAAAGAAGTGGAAGAAAATATATGTAAAACCGATTTATATCGATTTAAGTGTTGCTAATTTCTGTATTAAAATGAGCAAGAAACACGTCAATAAATGGATTCATTTAGAATAAAGGAAATCTATGGCTTAAACTAAACTTTTTATTAATTAAATCGTTATCAAAACAAACAAATTGAGTTTTCGTCAGCAAGTAAAATATATTTATTAAGAAATTACTTTGAAAGTTTTTAAAGAAAAAGTCTTTACAACTTTCTTTCAAGAAAAAGTCCCTCTCTTGTAACATTCTTGGAGCCTAGTTTTGAATGAAATTGTACGAGTCTTATGAGAAAAATCCAAAATAACTCGTCTAATTAAGACGTAATAGCTAGATGGCTAGATGAAAGTTGAGTAAGGGACTAACTATGACGAATTGGTCGATAGTGAGAACTGAGATTCGGAGGGAGGATGTGGTGATGAATCGGATGCTACTTCTGCAGATGGAGTCCTCCAGGTAGTCCACACATGCCACCACTATCTTCGATATCTGATCACGCGCTTCCTTGTCATACCCACCCTACAACAACCCAAATCGCCATACCATAACTGCCAACTAAGTCCAAACTAGGTCCAAGCTTCAAACTTTAGAGAACCTCGTAGTCATGAATGTAATAAATGCTTCGAACTTTAATTAGTTATTTTATTTTCACCCTGTTGATTATTTGTGTAGAGTAATTATTTCATTTTTTGAAATAGTGCGACCAACTCACTAGCAAAATTCAGAGTCTCTCTAGAGCTGCTTGACTACTTCGTGCCCGCGTAGAGGAATTGAAAAGAAAACCATCACTCAAACGAGAAAGCTTATTGACTGACTCTTTCTTAGTTTTTACAACAGAAACTTCAAAAAGGGTGGAAAGTGAGGAGCTCATGCAAAAAAAACAATTCTACAAATTGCTGAAAAATGGTTTTTTGGCTATTTTTCAATAAGTTTACTGAAGCGTTTTCAAACTATAAAACCTATCAGGTCAGGGGCGGATTTACAGTGGGGGGGGGGGGGTGGTGGAGGCGATCGCTCCTTTTATTCAAAGATTCGACCTTCGACCCCCACACCAACCATAGGGTCCCCCTTCTGGTTTTATTTTATGACAATTATTTTCGGCCTAAAATTTTACTAATATTTACTAATTTCCAGAGGGGGGGGGGTTGTCTCGTAAAAAGGCAATTTTTTCGACAAATCTTTCCAAAATGTGCCCAAAAATGGCCATTTTTGACCGGTTTTTTTTTCAAAAAATTGTTTAAGGCTCAGAAAATGTTGTCAAAATAAGGTCTTCATAGTGTTGGGAGTGGCTCGAAAAATATATATGATCTACCTAAAAAAATATTGACGAAATTCATGTGAAACAACTAGGTACAACTATGAAAATTGGAACCTCAAAATATAGATGGATCTTTGACGAAAATTTTAGGGGTTCATTTTTCCATTTTTCTATAACATTTTCTATTTAACACCAACCTCAACAAGTGACCAAATGACCCAAGCATGATCATCATCGCCGTCTTGCGGCCTCAGCTTCTTGTCAACAAGGAAAAACATCTAGACTTGCTATATAAAAAGAAATTAATTTAATTCTTCAACTAATAAATTTATTTCAGGTGAGCTTTGTAAGTTGAAAACACAATGAGTTACAATTTCTTGAGCGTAATGATTCAGTAAACAATCATATTGCAATGTTGTTTATATTTACAATATAAAGTAGTTTGTTCTGGTTTGCCCATATTGCTTGAAGACCTTTGAAAATGTATAATCAATTTTACGAAATTAATCAAATATTTTTCTCTGCAGTGTTCAGGTCTCGCGTTCAAATCGTAGAATATAAGATAAAACCTTAACGTGCTAAATCGAAAGGATCAGGGATAAAACTCATCTTGAACCTCCGGGAGTTTTTTTAATAGCTGGGCAGCGAAGAAGCACCGATTAGACTTCATCAGTATCTCGGCACCATAAATCCTCACTCGCGCCGAGGTTAAAGTCGCACCAAGTCGTGACATAAGTTGCGCGAGATCGCGACATCACTCGCGCAAAACCCGGCTTATATAAAAAATTGGTCACACAAATTCCCAAAAGCCGTGCAAAGTCGCAACACAAAATCGCGCTTAGTCGCCAGGAACATAAAGTCGCGCAGTCTCAACATGAAGTTGCGTAAAAATTTTCCTGAATGTAACTTAAAATTATAAGCTATAGTAATGTTTTGAAATCTGAGGGCTCCCGAGGTAGGATATAGTAAACTTGATGATAATTTATTTTTAAAATAATAATTGAAAAAAAACCTGAAAAAAACCTGAAAAAAACCTGAAAAAAACCTCAATCTGATCCAGATACAGCTGGCACTTAAATAGCATTTTTTGTTATACTCCCTTAATAACGTTTTAAAATAAAAACAAAAAATTTTCAATACAAAAATGGGTTGAATTCATTAATAAAGCAGGGCACTCAGGGCAAGAACAGGTCAAAAGGAGACAGTTTCGTCAATTATGGACACAAACGGAATGTTTTCCTGTTTTATTTCACGTTTTCTTTAAAAATGTAAAATAATCTTCCTTCTTCTGTTTTGATGGCTGTTTATAGCATATTTTTTTATTATCAACGTTTTGAGTCTTGTGATAGGTGTTTATAATTTGATTTTTCACCATCTGGGGAGCAAAAGCAATATAAAGACCCCATAATTATATTAAAACAAAGTCAATTGAATTAATTTTATTCAACCTGCATTGATTTCAAAAAAAAAACTTAAAATTTCAACGTAAGAAGTGCGAATATGCTTATATCTTACCACCAAGTGAACAGAAAACGTCAAGTGCGGTAGCTTGGGATACGCTCTGGCCAGAGATGATTTTTTGTACTGGAAAATAATGCTGGTCAACGCCGAAAGTTTTTGATAGTTTGCTAAAAATACCATTTCAGAACTGAGTCACTGCTTATCGAGCTCTCCAAAGCTCCCACTTGTTTCAGTGATTACGATACGGTTTAGTTTCCCCAGTTTACCAGGAAAAAAATCAGGAACACGATATTATAAGAAGTTTGATGTAAAAAAAAAGATTTAAAACATGTTACTAAGCATCACAATAAAACATCACATGTGCTGCAGCGGGTAATCAAAGACAACCTTCAAAATTTACAACCTTCAAAGTCAGCGATGTGTCATGTCATTGAGAGGATATCCAAAAAAATTTGCTGCCAAAGACGGACCGGGCAAAACATAAATTCAGGAAAACGCAATTGCCTTAAGCTTCCTTTTTATGTCTTGGTCGCAGCATCAAGAATGAGCGACATTGTTAATATATCACCACATCCTCAAAGTCCCTCACTGTGATATTATAGAGCTTGATCTGTTATTTTGAGAGGGAACATTACTTTTTGTTTTCAGAGTTGCTAAACATTCTACTACCCGGGTCGAGGTGCTCGGTTTATGTATCAATGTTTTCGACCAAAAGTTGGTATGTTTTGACCGTCTCGACCAAATTTCGGTATGTTTCGACTTTCTCGACCAAAATTTGGTATCTTTAGACTTTCTCGACCAAATTTTGGTATGCTTAGACTTTCTCGACCCAGCAAAAAAATTTCTACTTTGTTCAACCCAATTCAGATATGTTTCGACTTTCTCGACCAAAATCGGTATGTTTCGACTGCCTATGTCAACTATACTTTGAACGAATTCTTGAGAGATTTTAGGTTTGTTGATAATTGTAAAACTCAGTAACGCTTTGTGATGTTTTGTTTTTTTAATAATTGAAATATTATTGGTTCAAAACTGTTTTTTCTCACTGAAGTGTTTATTTAGAGCTAGGATAACTGAGGAAAAGTCAGATAAAACTTACAACTCAATCAAATTGACTTAAAACACTAACCAATTATCAATTGATTTTCCAGTATTTGTTAATGAAATTCTAGAAAAATTTATTTAAATACTGCTTTTATCAAATTTTCAGTAAATTTTGTCTTATTTGAACAAAATCGCAAACACAAAATGTATATTTAGTTGAACACATTATCATTGTTTTCCAAGTTTTTGAGTTTCATTGTTTTTTTTTCATTTTTATTTGCCTAAATTTAAGGTTTTGATTGGCTGAATGAGTTTCCTAAAAAGTAGCTGAACTCTAAATAAGGGAAAAACCTTTCATGATGACTGTTAGGACAAAATAAGTTTAAAATGATTCGAGTTTTTTCAAGTTTCTTTGTTTATTTCAGAAAAAAATGTTTCTATCAAAAGCGTTTTAAATGTCTGAACTGAACATTTATCAGATTTTAAAATTAACTTCTTCAAAAAACGAAAAGAGTGGTGGACAGATGACGTTGATGGAGATTGCATTAGTTTTAACTTGTATAGAAACAAAGAAAGTTCAATAATTTTGTTAAAAAGACGGAGAGGAGATTTCAGAAAAGAAGAGTACTGCCAGATTTATCAACAATGTTTTTATTTTGAAGAGTTAACACAGATTGAGTGGTAGCTCAGTAAAAAACAAAAAAATGGAAGAGCCTATGAAACAAAATTTGAAGATAAGGAACATCATTTCGATTACTGTTTTGAATTTGATACAAATACAAAATCTAGATTTGTCAGAAAATCTTTTAATCGATTATCCAAATTTAAATGACTTCCATTTGTTTATATTACAATATACCAAAAAGAAAGTGATAAAGCTGGATATTTTGGTAATTTTTTTTTTCACTGGTTAGAAATAGAACAAATCGAAAAAATGTTGACCAAAATTTCAAAATTTGAGTTTAGTATCAAAACAATAGTATAAACCAGACAAGAAACCTCACTTTAGTGTCAATCGTATATGTTAGTATCTTGAAAACTTCAATAAAACTGATTGATCGGGAAGTTTCATAAACATAGTTTGGTTCTGATCTACAAAATACTTTAAAATCGGTGAATACTTCCTTCTGATTGGTAATTACCACTAATATTACCTGTGAAGGAATGCTCGATTGTTTGATATCAAAATTATTGAAAAATCCATGATAATTGAAGCTCAATTTTGATTGGTTGACTTTATACTTGTTGAAAATTCCATGACCATTGAAGCTCGGTTCTGATTGGTTGATATCAAAAAAGATAAAAATTTCCTTTTAAGTAATGCTCGATTCTGATTAGTTTATACTTTTGAATCTGCATGGTTGGATTGGATGATTTTTGTTTCAGCTAGGCTGAATAGCACATCCATTCTGATTTTCTTTTATTGCTGTTTTTTATAAAAATTGCTGTTTTTATTCACTTTTATTCATTTTTCGAGGCTAATCAACTCTTCTTATATAAAAATTTGGGATTTCTGAATCTCCCATTTATTCTCACCTTCTTTATTTACTTTTTGAGATGCCGTCACTGAATAAAAATGAAAGGGTTGATTGTCTTGAATGTGGCAGAGAACACACACGCAAAGATGCATCAAGACTTCGTAAGCACTGTGGCGTTTTAAAGTGTTCCAATTGTAACTTTTATACATATAGCAGCGAGGAACTCACTTATCATTTCAAGAAGAAGCATTGTCAACATAATGATAAATTATATGCTCAGCAGTCTCAAAAAACACTCCAAGAGAAGGTAAACTTTATACCTTTTTAATAAAAAATCCTAGGAGAAAATACTTTGACGAATAATTTTTACTGAATCTGAAAAGTCTGTACAAAAATTTGAAAAACTTTAGTAAAAAATATACAGTGTTTTCATCACCATTCTTGATCTGTCATTTTTTTTATTCAAAGGTTCTGACTGATGATAAAACCAGCAACAATCAAGTTCAAATTTTGGTGAAAATTTCAATGGAAATCGATCCGAAATTCTTTTATCTACAGTAAAAACTCCATTGGTTGCATGCTTGCGGAGATTTTTTTGTGATAACTTTGTAGTAAAAGTCAACAACACATGCTAATGATTGCCTAAGAATTTGTTGAAATTTTGTTTAAAAAAATTATCGACTAATTGAGAGGTTTTGCCTATTTGCCATTTTAAAATTTTCCCTGTTTAGTTATTGAAAAAGTGTTCATAGAGTAGTTCGTTATTAAGCAGATAATGGGGGTTGAGTTATCAAGAATTATAGTTTTCTTCTGTTTTTTTGACCATTTCAAACCTGGAAAAGATCAAAAAAATGTATGTTTGTGCCAACCTTTGAAAAATTCAAGACAATAATATACACCATTCTTATCCCAAAATTTATTTTATTATAGAAAATCAGGTTTTAAACAGCAATATAAAATTATAAGGTTGAGAAAACTTTATACTATAAGGTAAACTTTATACCTTTTTAAAAAAATCTTAGGAGAAAATACTTTGAATAATAATTTTTACTGAATCTGAAAAGTCTGTACAAAAAATTTGAAAAAACTTCAGGAAAAATTACACAGTGTTTTCATCACCATTCTTGATCTGTCATTTTTTTCATTTAAAGATTCTGACTGATGATAAAACCAGCAACAATCGAGTTCAAATTTTGGTGAAAATTTCAATGGAAATTGATCCAAAAATCTTTTATCTCCAGTAAAAACTCCATTGGTTGCATGCTTGCGGAGATTGTTTTGTGATAACTTTGTAGTAAAAGTGAACAACACATGCTAATGATTGCTTAAGTAATTGTTGAAATTTTGTAAAAACAAATCATCGACTAATTGAGAGGTTTTGCCTTGTTGCCATTTTAAAGTTTTCCCTGTTTAGTT